GGTAGGATAAAAACCTCAGACATGTTCTTGATGCAAGTCCTCTTTCTTTAGTGTGCTGAAATGGGAATCATTGATTTGATACTTGTTAATGGGAAGCATAGTATTGAATAAGCTAAATGTATAACAAGACAGATACTTTTTCTGTTGTCAAATTTTGATGTTCAAATATTCTTTAAAATGTCTCCAGTACCCTAGTTTTAGTTCCATCTTTAATTTACTTATTCATCAGATAATTCTTTGTATTCTTTTTGTTCTTAATTTTCTCAGATTGTTGCACCATTAGAAGCTAGGGTGCTCTACAAACAGACAGATGGCTGAAAGTGGAAAAGAAAAAATAAAATGGACAACCACCATTATTATTAGCTCATCTCTTAAGGTAAAGGGGCATTTGGGCCACTGATCTTTAACTTAAAAAAAATTAAAAGCAGCTTTCATATGGAACAATATTTTAAAAGCTTCTTAGCTTGATTGTCCACAATTAGTTGTGGGGAGCAGGAAGTGCATAAGCTACATGTATTTTAAAGATAAATAAATAGACTTTTTGCGTTCATTTTCAACATCCTACTTCCTTAATTCTTTGAAGGTTGGAGATTTTCTAAAGTTCTTTTTTTTTCTTTCTGTAAGCACTCTAATGGAGATGTTAAGGAATTCCAGAAACAGTAAAGATATGCAGATATATATTAGTTAAGGCTTTTTGAGAGCTAAAGAACCAGAAACTGATATTCTAGCCTTGGCAGCATCGGAATGAGACTGTCTCCTTACAGTTTGGAGAGGGAGAGACGGAAAGTTGAATGCCTGAGAGTAGGTGGTCAGCTCACAACCCTCAGCTCACAAGACTTCTCCATTGCCCTAATATTTATCTTATGGACACCAGCTGATGTCTGGAGTGAAGGGGCAAGAAATGATTATTCCATAGTAAGGTGTGGTTTTATGGTTTTTGTTGTATTTTGTTTTATACTTTATTGTGAGTCTATTTTCATAAATTATATTTTTACAAACATTTACCCATTTTATAGAGGCTTTTAAATGTATTAAGTTGAACTTTATGAAATTTACATTTCTGTGGTGAAAAGTTTCATATTGTCATTCTTTAAATTTTCTAATAAACTGCCGTTAAGTGCGCCTTTTCATTCCTGTTTTTACTTACATTTTCTTTCTTATGAGTGATGTGCTAGACATATTAGTTTTTGTTTTTTGTTGTTTTGAGATGGAGCTTTGCTCTGTCGCCCAGGCTGGAGTAGTGGCACAATCTTGGCTCACTGCAACCTCCGCCTCTCAGGCTCAAGTGATTCTCCTGCCTCAGCCTCCCAAGTAGCTGGGATCACAGGGGCCTGCCACCACGCCAGCTAATTTTTGTATTTTTAATAGCGATGGGGTTTCACCACGTTGGCCAGGCTGGTCTCGAACTCTGAACCCCGCCCCCACCCCAACCTGCACGATGGCTTCCCAAAGTGCTGGGATTACAGGCGTGAGCCACTGCACCTGGCTGACATAATACTAGTTTTAAAGATTATTAATAGATGTTACATATGCAGGAAGGAGTATTGTATGGATTTTATTTTGGATGCTGCTATAAACAAAGTTAAACAAGTGTTTTTTGTTTTGTTTTGTTTTGGTTAGGTTTTCTTTTTACTGCACTATTATTCAGAGACTTTAATATGTTCAAATGCATTATAAAACCCCCAAAAGAGATGAAATAATATTCAGCATTCCCCAGTCTTATTTCAGGCAGGAGCATCTTTTAATATCTAATAGGACTAATATTCTATGAAATGTATTTTGAAAAATCTATACTTAGCTTCCTGGTCATTTTGATGAATCAGCTCTTGGACTTACCTATTGTTTTCTCAATTCAATACGTTCTAATTTTACCTTCATTATTTTTTTTAGCATTCCATTATTTTATTCTTTTAGTTGGTTCCTCCTGATAATAGGATATTATTGAAATTCATTGGCATGATATATATGGGTGCTCATGATCTGCCAGCAATTATTCCTAACATTGTACCCAAATTATCTGACTTGTATATACCTTACCCACTCACTGTATAAGAACCATACCTTTAGGTCTGAATGCCTTTACCTTTGTTACTCTTTCTGTTCATACTCTTCTCATATTTGTCTTCTTCCTTCACTTGTCTGCCTAATACACTGCTTTTTATTTTAAAGATTTGACTCAGATTTTTTATTATGTGTTTGTTTTTTAATTAGATAGGGTCTCACTACATTGCCCAGGCCAGTCTTGAACTCCTGAGCTCAAGCAGTACATTGCCTTGGCCTCCCAAAGTGCTGGGATTACAGGCCTGAGCCACTGTGCCTGGCCCTGTTTGAATCAAATTTTAGGGAGCTTTCTTAACTCATGTTTTTTATATTTTTAAACATATCTTCCAGTTCTTTGCCAAAATTCTTAAGCTATGTTTTATCTCCTTGATCATAATAAACAGGCTGTTTTAAGGTGTGTATTTGATAGCTTCACTACATGCATCCCCTGTGGGCCTGTTTCTGTTCTCTATTATTTCTGATAGTTTTCTTTCATGGAATTGTGTCCCTTTGTATGTCTGATTATTTTTTATTGTATGTTGGAATTTGTATTTGAAAAATTGTAGAAATAATTTGAAGCCTAGAATAATGCTATCTTCCCCTTGAGAGGTTTTAATTCTATAAGAAAATTAAATTCCTGATGCCCTAAGTAGGGTTGCCAGATAAAATACAGGACACTCAAGTTTGAATTTCCAGCCAGGTGCGGTGGCTCACGCCTATAATCCCAGCACTCTGGAAGGCCAAGGTGGGTGGATCACTTGAGGTCAGGAGTTTTGAGACCAGCCTGGCCAACATGGTGAAACTCTGTCTCTACTAAAAATACAAAAATTAGCCAGGCATGGTGGTGTGTGCCTGTAATTCCAGCTACTTGGGAGGCTGAGGTAGGAGAATCATTTGAACCCAGGAGGCAGAGGTTGCAGTGGTCCAAGATTATGCCATTGCACTCCAGCCTGGGTGACAGTGTAAGACCCTGCCTCAAAAAAAATAAAAAATAAAAATAAAAAATAAAAAGTTTGAATTTCAGATAAACAGTGAATTTACTATAATTATGTCCCAAATATTACGTGGGACATACTTATACTGAAAATTGCATTGTTTGTCACGCATTCACATTTAACTGAGTGTTGTGTTGTTTTTATTTGCTAAATCTGACAACCCAACTCCTAAGGCATCTCTTTTATATGATGAATTAAGTTGTATCCTGTACATCTAGAGTGTTGAATTAAATTGTCTCCTGTACCTCTAGCTATGGGAGAATTGACACAATAGTCACTTAGATCATTTTCTTTGTTCCATAATTCAGATGAGGAGACCTGATTGAGAAAGGTTGCTCCAGACAGTGTTTCTACAAGGTGCTGGGAAGCACTGGTAATTCAGTTATCACCTTAATACAATTTCAGGGATTGAAATGGTTTGAAGCTGGGCTATAGTCCCTGTGAGAACTGTTCTATTTTCGTCAAAAGATCTGTTCAGCCTCTCTTCTGCCTCTTTCTGAGCTGGCAGATGCCCTCAGGGAAAAAAGTGGCCTAAATGCTTGCTCATATATTTGAATTTCTGTATAGATGTTGACCTTATAATTTTTTACTATCCTGTTAGCTCTCTGGTGTATTCAAGCAGATTTTAGAAGATTGTCCAGCTTTTCTAGTTGCGTTCAGTAGGCGGGTTGGCCTAAATTACTTAATCTGCCGTTGCTGGAAGCATTATATAATTTTAGAACAGCAGAAGAAAAGAGCCACAGTTAAACTGTAGGTCAGGATCTGTCTGAGTGACACAAAATACTCTTTAGAAAAGAAAGGAAGCATGTATTTTACACATAATTTCAGCCTGTGTGCTTAAAACATACATATTCTGAGGCAAAATAGAAAATAAAATTAATCTACCTAAGAGATTTTTATCTGTCTGGAAACTATCAAGTTTGAGTTTTATTTATTATTTTTATTTATTTTTTAATTTTTGGTAGAAACAAGGTCATGCTACATTGCCCAGGCTGGTCTCAAACTCCTGGGCTCAAGTGATTCACCTCAGCCTCCCAAAGTGCTAGGATTACAGGTGTGAGCCATTGTGCCTGGCCAAATTTAAGTTTTATCTTATCAGGAAAAACTGTTAATCCTAGATTTTAGTATTGTGGGAAATATGATTTAATTGCCTGGGTGCAATAGGAAATGAGGTGATATTTGAAATGGTTAGTATTAAAACCAAGAGTCCTATAGCTGTTTTCTTACATGTTTTCTGACTCACCTAAGGCTTAAAACATTTTAAAAGTATACTAAAGTAACTGTAATGTAAATTGATGAATTGTAAAATTGGTTGTCTTCTGTGATGGTATTGTATATGTCTGGCACTATGTGGTTCTGTCAATTATTTAAGAAATAGACAACCACCTATTTTCCATAGTTATACATTAATGCATGTCAGAATCTATCTCCAAGTTGTTATTATTATTATTATTATTATTATTATTATTATTATTGAGACAGGGTCTCTGTCACCCAGGCTGGAGTGCAGTGGTGCAGTCACGGCTCACTGCAGCCTTAACCTCCCAGGCTCAAGTGATTCTCTCACCTCAACTTGTGAGTAGCTGGGACTACAGGCATGTGCCACCATGCCCAGCTAATTTTTTGTATTTTTTGTAGAGAAAGTTTTGCCATGTTGCCCAGGCTGGTCTTGAACTTCTGGACTCAAATGATCCACCAGCCTTGGCCTCCAAGGTCTCGTGGTCACCATGCCTAGCCTCCAAGTTGTTTGTTTGTTTGTTTTTTGAGGTAGAGTCTTGCTCTGTCACCTGGGCTGGAGTGCAGCGGCACAATCTCGGCTCACTACAACCTCCACCTCCCAAGTTCAAGTGATTCTCCTACCTCAGCCTCCCAAGTAACTGGGACTACATGCATGCCTCACCACGCCCAGCAAATTTTGGGCTTTTACCATGTTGGTCAGGCTGGTCTCAAATTCCTGACTTCAAATGACCCGCCCACCTTGGCCTCCCAAAGTGCTGGGATTTCAGGTGTAAGCCACTGCCCAGGTTGTTTTTTAAAATGAAGTTTGCAGCTGGGTGTGGTGGCTTACACCTATAGTCCCAGCTACTTTGGGAGGATTGCATGAGCTCAGGAATCTGAAGTCAGCCTGGGCAACAAAATGAAACTTCATCTGTCTCTAAAAAAGAAAAAGTTTACATTTGCTCTGGTTTATACAGTTTAATGCTGTCTTTTCTGTTCCTAAGTAACATAACTGTAGTACATAACTCACTCCCTAACTTGAAATAAATGTTTTAGTAGAACTAAATGTTTTTGCATTTTTTAAAGCTTTTTCTCCATGGAAAGCATATTTATTTCTCTTTTGATGATCATATCTGTAAGTGGTAGTTATAAAATAACCTATTAAACTTTTAATGTTTTCTTTAGCTTTAATAAAATTGTAAGCATGCTTTAAATTTGTATTTCTGAATTTTTTTAAAAAAGAGTTATGAAGTTGCAACTGCCCTAGAAAATCGAAGCCACAAAGTTCGATATTCAGATTCAGTGGAAAATGGATCAATTATATTTTCTCTTTCTGGTACAGTATATTTGCTCACTGCCTTAAGTTTCTTATGAAATATGTTGGTATAAATTCTAATGCCTTTATAGTTCCATAACCATATAATAAGCTTAAGGTGTTATCTTTTGGGAGGGGTAACTGTGTAAAACTTAGTTACCACAAACTCAGTGCATATGGCCAATTCCAAAATATATTACCTTTTAGATTACAATTGTTAAAATAAAGCTGAACTAGTGGAGTCTGGTAGAAGATGGGAAAAAACTGCTTGCTTTGGAACTGAGTGAAAATAGAAAAAGCCACTTACCCAACAATCTATACTTACATGAAAGTTTATTACTTATATTAACAGAGGCCACAACATTTGTCAAAACTGATATACAAAAAAAAAAAAAAATGTTTTTCATCAATTTGTATTGATTTGTTTGTATTGATTTGTTTGCTGGATATAATATAAATATTAACTAAAAGAATCATGGGGACAAATAAATGTTCATGAAATGACAACTGGTACAACTGTTAGTCATGGACAAAAGTCCAGTAAGGAATTAGATTAGGATAAGAGAAGCCTGGGGAGATGGGAAGGGGGAAGCTCCACCTTTGCTTGAGAAATGACAGAAGTGATCTTTAAAAAGGTAGAGGTAAAGGATTTTATCTGGAGGGTTGCAAATAGACTTCTCTTCTAGCAGTTTTGAAGACAAGCACTTTCAAAAAAGCTGCTAGAATAGATCTCCAGGCTGAAAGTGGTATAGCCTCAAACTCATTCTTCTGGTTAAATACAGAACCCTCCAGGGAGAAATAAAATACTTGGTGAATATTTGCCTTGGCTACTTTATATACATGATCTAATTTAATTCTTCTGACAAATCTAACAAGAAATTTACTCCCATGTTACAGAAGAGGAAACTTATGTTCAGACAGGTTATGTAAGTTGCCCAAGTTTACTCAATTAGTATATAATCACAGTCACTTTCCTCAGACTGTCTCCCACATCGTTTGAAGAGCTATAATCAAGTTTCCCTTTAGGACCATTCTTAATGGCGCAGACACTCAGAGATTGCAGATATCTGCTGAGTGTATTAATTTATATAATTCTTTTTTAAAGTTTTTTATTTTTTGAGACGGAGTCTCGCTTTGTCGCCCAGGCTGGAGTGCAGTGGCGCGATCTCTGCTCACTGCAAGCTCCGCTTCCCGGGTTCACGCCATTCTCCTGCCTCAGCCTCCCGAGCAGCTGGGACTACAGGTGCCCGCCACCACACCCGGCTAGTTTTTATATAGTTCTTTATATTCTGATAGAAAGGTTCCCCCAACAAGAAATCACTGAAGGCTTTTTTTTTTTTTTTTTTTTGAGATGGAGTCATGCTCTGTCGCCCAGGCTGGAGTGCAATGGTGTGATCTCAGCTCACTGCAACCTCTGCCTCCCGAGTTCAAGCAATTCTCCTGCCTCAGCCTCCTGAGTAGCTGTGATTACAGGCACACGCCACCACACCTGGCTAATTTTTGTATTTTTAGTAGAGACAGGGTTTCACCACGTTGGTCAGGCTGGTCTCGAACTCCTGACCTTGTGATCTGCCTGCCTTGGCCTCCCAAAGTGCTGGGATTACAGGCGTGAGCCACCACACCCAGCCGAAGTCTTGCTTAAGACTCTTTATTTAGCTGATTTCCAGCTTTTAAAAATAATTATAGGAGATTCTTGGTTGCTGAACACATGCAGGTGTCTGGAGGGTGGCAGGCCCAGAGAAGGCATTGAAGCTCCATGTCCGTTCCCACATACCTAGCCCTATGCATATCTTCATCTGTATCCTTTATAATACACTAGTACATATTTTAAAAGTATAACATGAAAAATTAACTTTTTAAATGTAATTCATCTTAATGAAAAACTACCCAGTATCTTCATGTGGACAATGCCTTCATCTAGGAAAAAAAAGTAGTTACTGATCCAAAAATGTTTTTCTCTTATTTAGCACAAGTCATTCTTTTATACAGAGCACTTCAAAGAACTACCTAAATTCTGTTGTATAGGAATTTCATTATAGTAATTTCTACTCCTTATGAGTTTAGGGCTTGGACACATGGTATACTTACAGCTATTTTGGTTGATTCTGAGTTTATAACAAAATTTGATCTCTGTGACAAAGTGACGTTTTATATTCAATTTACCTTTCCTAGGAGTTGCATTTTTATTAATGGATACTAAGGAATGTATTCTGTCAACCGAAGAAACATTGCTAGCCAAAATTGAGAAATTTATTAACATTCACCAAAATAGTTTTTTGGTTTTGTCTGCTGCCCTCCATGGGCCTGAAGAATGGAAACTGATGTTCAGAATTCAGCAGAGGTATGGAAGAATAGCATTATAGATGTATTTTTCTTATATTGTATTTATTTCAGTTCTTAATTCTTTTAGGTGAGTTTTGTTTTGCTAGATGATGAACACTGTGATGTTAACCTATCAAATTTAATGAAACATGGGCCAAAAAGGTATTCTATGAATCGAGTTGACAGGGTTCATGATGCTTCCCGGGCTTCTCCAAGACGAAGCCAAAAGTGAACAGGCTTTTAGTCAGTGATGTTCTGGCTATAAAGCCATCTCAGATCCTCTGTGGAGTAAGGCAGGGCATGAACTGCATAGACAAATAACAAACAATAGAGATTTGTCTCTTCTTTCTACTTTCTTGAGAGAACACATGTCAGTAAGTTATATGATCTGTATATCATGAATTGTTTTTCAGATTCCTGGGTCGTAACTTACGAATACTTCCAGTACACAACACAGTAAATGCTATTAATCTTATGTGCACTATAGCAAAGGTGAGTCACCTGGGGAATATGACGCATACACATATACATTTTAAGGTTTTTAACTTCCAGTTGTCACCCTTTTGAGCAAGACTGGCAAATATCTTGCTTCTGTTCCCCTGAGGGAGTTGCTGTTTCAGCATGCAACTTTTTCCCAAGCCTGAACTAAGTCTCTCAAGTCTTCTCAATTTACTTCCAGTAGCCACTACCATTTAAGACTCATTTGGGGCCAAAAGAGCATTTGGTTGGTCCTATTGGTTACTTATATCTTCATTCAAATTCTAAAGTTATAAGAGTTGGTCAGATTGCAGTCATGAACTGTCAGAGTGCAAGCATACTATCTCATGGAATGTCATCTACCAATTGTCCACTTTCTTTTCATGCTTTTTGTCCTCTGCAAAGTGTGCCCAGACACCTGAAACCCCCTAGGCAGACTTAAGTCTTCCTTACTTTTATACTTGGAACATATCCCCATTAAAGCAATTTTCATAGTATTCTACTTTTTGGCTTGCATGTTTGAAATTCCTTGGATAGAAAGTATTTTCCTGTTGACTACTCTAGTAACTCACACATAGTGTTTAGCACAAAGATGATCAGGAGATTTGCTGAAAGAATGAAAGTTATTTTTAAATGTGACCTTGTAAAAATATCTTATTTCTGTAAATAATGCTGGATCTTTGTATCTTCTTCCAGACTACCTCCAAACCATACATAGATAGCATTTGCTACAGAATGATAACAGCTAAAGCTTACATCATTGAGCAAAGTCCTGTTTGGAAAACACTTCAGAAGATACAACTGAATAGTGATTCAGTTAACCCAAATTAGAGTACCAACTTAATGCTCTTCTCAAAGAATGTGAAAATAATTAGAACTGTTAAATTATAATCAAATATCTAAAGACATTTATATTAATTTGAAATAACATGTATACAATTAAAAGTGATTTTATTTTAGGAGTTTTACTGTGAGATTTCTTTAACGCTGTTTAGCAAAGGATTGGTACATACATATATCATAAAACTCAGGTGTAGCTTCTTAGATGGACAAGTATTTAGTAGGAAATAAAAATACAGAATTTTCTAATCAGTTTCTTAAAGTCATATGTAGTTTTTTTTCCATAAAGGTAGCAAGTATTTCTAAAACTAATCTTTGTAGATGTTTTCCTATTATAACTTCTGCTGGAGAGGTGGTGATGGGACTCTGCTCCCAAAGACTCCACCTAAGCCAGGAAAAGAGAAGCTAAGAAAAAAGTCAACTGGCCTGAATTCAAAACTTTCTACTCATTTACACTGGTGTGATAGCCAACTTGACACTAGGAGTTCCGAAATGTTACATAGCATCTAACTTCAGCAGAAAATGTATCAGTATTTTTATAAGCTCACTAAAACTGTAGGAATGAATATAGACAATTCAACTACATTTTATGAAGTTACAAAATTATTAGTTTGTATTGGATTTTCAAAAATAGTATTTAGGACATATGTGGGCATTATTTACCATTAGATAACTTTAAAACAACAAAAAAACTTCTATAGTATATCATTATAGAAACTGATAAATGAGAGAAGCTACATTTATTTTTCAAGCAGTAAATTTTTACAGAAAAAATTTTATAATGGTATTAAATAAATCATAATGGAAAATGATACTCTATTTTATGAGTTTTTACTTTATTAAGGAAGTGGAACTTTCACTTTATCCCAATATTTTCTTCAGAGGTAGACTTTGTTTTTATTTCAATGAGTTCTTCCACTCGAGCTAGAACACTTTCAATCAAATCAAATGTGAAAAGAGCTGAATGTAGGACCTGCAATGCCAAGAAAAAGTAATGTTATTAATGCTATCTTTAAAGCCAAACAAAGCAAAACATAGAAAAGATTTCAGCTGGAGGTAGCTCAGGAATATTTAAGACCAGGTAGAGTGGTTCACACCTGTAATTTCTGTGCTTTGGGAGGCTGAGGAGAGAGGATTACTAGAGGCCAGGAGTGGGAGACCAGCCTGAGCAACATAGTGAGACCCTATCTCTACTAAAAATTAGCCAGGCATGGTGGTGTGCACCTGTAGTCCTGGCTAATCGGGAGTCTGAGGTGGGAGGATCACTTGAGCCCAGGGAGTTGAAGCTGCAGTGAGCCACAATCATGCCACTGCACTCCAGCTTGGGCAAGACAGCAAGATCCTGTTTCTAAAGAAAAAGGAAAGAAAATTTCAGATCACCTTAAGCTGCATTTCAGGAGGCATATTAGGGATCTCTTCTCCACCTACAGTTATAGAACAAAGATCTTTAGATTTCTGGGCCTCTGTAAGAAAAGAAAAAAATCATGTGTGACACTTAAAAAACTCTCATATCAATAACAAATGTATAAGCTACTTTCATCATTCATTAACTTAAAACGTGTCAGTTATTTGTAAAAATTAAGTCCACTGTTTAACAGCTCAGGGTATACTTAAGCTATAAGCAAATAGAATGAACTATCAAAATTCTGCAACATGTGAATTAATACTTCTTTAGATAAACAGCATTATTTTGGCATGTATAGGATTCATCAAACTATTTTCTTTAGTATATAATCAATTACAGTCATTATACTAAAAAAGACAATTTCTGGAAATGCCTATAAAAGCACCACCACAGATACATGGAAGAGATCACATGATTGTTACAGAATTGTTGACTTACAAAATTCTGGATCTAAGATTTTTTTCATAATTTGTATGGATTTACTTGAGGGTGAAATGCAATACCAAAGGAATGCTACCCAAATGGAAAAGCTGTAATACAGATTCTTAGAGCTTGAGGCTTTAAAATATATGCTTTAATTTGGTTTAAGTCTTCATTAACCTGACTTTAGGTAAATTAGCTTATAGATCTGCTAAGAATTTTAACTATAAATAAAATGGCTTAGCTGTTATGGTCTCTAAACAAGTATAAGATTTTTAAAAAGTTCTTAAATTTGAATATGACAGTTGCAAAATTGGACTACTTTTTATACCTAACTGAAAACAAAATTGCACATTACCAACCTTGGCTATTTTTAATTTCTGCTTCATAATGTGCTTTTGACATATTAAGTCCTATATGAAGTGGCTTTAAGAAATTATTCTCAATATTTCCAAGTTCTGTCCATAATCCAGTCTGTTAAGAATAAAAGAATGAGTTATTTAGTTCAACAGTGATTGACTGCCTACTACTATTAAACGTGTTAAAAGCTCGCAAAATAAAAATAAAACATGGCCCTTTTCACAATGGACTTCACTATTTACTAATTACATTTATTACTGTATCTAGTTATGTGAATACCAATGAAAAGAAAAATGTACTTGGGGCACTACGCTTATCACTGCACCACTTGGATAGCTCCTGGGTTTGAGATCTGTTAACTTGTTAAGATTTATGAGAAAATTATTGGAAGATAAATTCACAGACATCTCTTCCTCTATGAGCCATCCCCACAATGACTCTACCTTATTTATGCCTTCATCCCATGTATGTCCTTTCAATTGATATCCTCACCACGGATCTAGTTCTAGAGGATGCTTTCCCTTTCCTACTGATGGAAACTTTTCTAATACCCAGCTAATTTGAACCTCCTTGGTGACCAAAGTAGGTGAAGATTTTATCTGTTGAGGACAGCTTATTTTGTCATGTATCTTAGAGGTTTTTATTCCAAGAGCATTTTCTCTTACAGTACTTAAAGGAGAGGAGTCATGAAGTCTTAATTTTATTTTAAAAAATAGAGAAAAGAAAATCCATTGGTACTTCTGAGTGTCCAGGTACTCTTTACAAAGGAAAATGTCTTAGATAAAAAAGGGAAACTTAAGGACCCAATTTATCCTTAACTAGAATAATGAACTACTTGAGAACCTATTTTGTAATGAGCTTATTTTGACCCAAGTAGTATATAACATGTTACTTGTAGCATTCCAAATAAAATCTACACATGTCTATGAATAACTGATAATGTCTCACATATATACTTTTCATTTCAGTGATCTTATTTCTCCTATACTAACAGGAAAAGTAGAATTCTAGAGAGGATCTAAAACCCTCAAAAATATGCATACCTTTTCACTCAGCATCTACAAACTTATCTTGGGGAAATAAAGATGGATGTTATCATTCTACTGCAGATGTTTTAAAAAATGTTTAGTGAAACATTAGAATTAAAATAACTCACGACAGGAGATTCATAGTAAATTGACACATTAACATAATGGAAAAACTATACAGCCATTAAAATATTGTTTTTCAGTACATATTGGTGAATGGGAAAAAAGGTTATAAAACAGTGTGATTCTTTTAGTATGATCTCATTTTCTTTTTAAAAAAGAAAAAATGTACAGATGTATTAACACAAAACCTAGAAGGGAATACAGTATATCAACAATGGTGTAATTTTGATTACTATTCTTTTTTTATCTTGATTTTTAAATAATGGATGTTTTAGTTGTATATTTTTTAAATTGTTAAGTGGAAAGTTTTCTTAACCTCTCATGGCAAATTTGGGTTATATGCAGCAGGAATTTCCTTAACCAGTGTAGTCACACAGTATAACAAGCATATTACTCTTACGTGCACCGACTGCTCTCATTTCTCCTATTTTTACCTCTATCCTTTTTCTTTTACTGATACATGATATTTTACATATTTATGGGTACATGTATTTGTTACATGCATAATATATATAATAATAAAGTCAGTATTTGGGGTATCCATCCTCTTGAGTATTCATCATTTCTATACATTTCATGTCCTCTCTTCTAGCTACACTGAAATATACAATATATTGTTGCTAATTATAGTCACTTTAATGTGCTATCAAGCAATACAGCTTGTCTTTTATCTAACTCTGTTTGTGCCCATTCACCAGCTTCTCTACATTTTCCCCTCCCATGCTCACAACGCTGGCATCATTCTATATTCTGTATCCACGACATCAAGTTTGTCAGCTCACACATGTGAGAATATGTGATACTGTCTTTCTGGGCCTGGCATATTTCAACATAATGACAAGTAGGTCCATCCACATTGCTGCAAATAAGCTTTTATTCCTTTTTACGTCCAGCCTTTTCTTCACCATTTTGTATTCCCTGCACCCCAACTTTTTTTTTACTTTTTACTTTGCATTCACCTCTGGGTTTATAGGCAGAACTCACTGCAACGAATGGCTTTCAAGACTAGGTTACTGATGACTCTCTTACCCACTAAAGCACATTTGAACATAAAGAGTATGGAGAAAACACCTAGCTTGGACAAAAGGAAACATTTTATTATATTTACTTTTAAAAAATAAAATACTAGATATGGCTGGAATCCCCTTTATTCAAGAGGCAGCCATTAGCTAAAACTTGAATGTTTTGCATTCCTAATGTATCACTTAATTTTTCATGTTTAAAAGCATATAAATGATATCATACTGTATATAACATGCTTCAGCTTCCTTTTTGTCAATCTTAAATTTGAGAGTTATTTATGTTGTAGCTCTAATTTCATTTTAATTGCCGCATACACATTCCATTATATGGAATTTATCCGGTTACTAAGTTTTTAGTATTTCAAAATAATGCAGCATTTACATTGCTGTATGTTTTCCTATTCACACAGGGTAAAAGTGTTTCTAGGATACTGTTTTTCAAATTATTTTTGCCATGACTCTCAGTAAAAAATAGGTTTTACATCACAACTCAACACACATTTATTTCTATAGCTGAAATAAAAGTTTTCCCTCAAATCCTTTCCACATAACACATTTAATCTTAATACTTTAATGTAGAAAAATGGAGAATAAGCGATTCAAAAATAAACATCAGAAAGATTTTTATATAATAAATGAGTGTGCTTGACTGCTCATGATGTAATTTCAGTCTAATTCACTATTGAGCCTGGTTCTTTTTATTTTTCAAAGTCAGGTCTGTTGTGGTATTGATTATATACAGTAAAATATAACCTTCTAGCTATACAGTTCTGAGCTTTGACAAAGATATATAGTGATATAAAGTCAAGTAACCACTGTTGCTGTAAAGACATTCCCATGACCCAGAAATTTTTGTGCCCCTTTGTAGTCAGTTTCCTCCCACCTCCAGCAACCAGCAATCTGATTTTTGTTAATGTAATTTTTGCCTTTTCCAGAATGCCATAAGTGGAATTAAAACCCTTCGTGGCAGAAATTGACAAAATTCTAAAATTTATACAGAAAAGGTAAAGGATTTAAAAATAGCCAATACAATTTTGAAAAAGAAGAACAAAGTTGGCAGACTCACATTACTTGAGTTTAAGACTTCCTAAAAAGGAATAAAACAGAATAATTTCTTCCTATAAAGGAATCAAGACAATGTGGTATTGGTAAAAGAATATATATAGGTAAATGGAATACAGTCCAAAAATAGACCCATACTTACAAAATGATTTTTGACAAAGTTGCCAAGATAATTCAGTAAATTAAGGATAACCTTTTCTACAAATAGTGTTGAGGTCAAAATAAAAGAAGAAAAATCTCTCAACCCGTATCTCACATCACATAAAAAGTTTACTTGAAATGGGTCATTGACCTAAGTGTAAAACCTAAAACTATACAATTGCTAAAAGAAATTATCTTTGTGGGGGGCGTGCCCAAGATGCCTGAATAGGAACAGCTCCAGCCTCCAGCTCCCAGTGTGAGCAACACAGAAGATGGGTGATTTCTACATTTTCAACTGAGTCTCCACTGCTGATACCCAGCCAAACAGGGTCCGGAGTGGACCTCAAGCAAACTCCAAGAGACCTACAGTTGAGGGTCCTGACTGTTAGAAGGAAAACTAACAAAGAGAAAGGACACCCACACCAAAACCCCATCAGTACGTCACCATCATCAAAGACCAAAGGCAGATAAAACCACAAAGATGGGGAAAAAGCAGTGCAGAAAAGCTGGAAATTCGAAACACCAGAGCGCATCTCCCCCTGCAAAGGAACGCAGCTCATCGCCAGCAACGGAACAAAGCTAGACCGAGAATGACTTTGACGAGTTGAGAGAAGAAGGCTTCAGTCGATCAAACTTCTCAGAGCTAAAGAAGGAACTACGTAACCAGCGCAAATAAACTAAAAACCTTGAGAAAAGATTTGACGAATGGCTAAGTAGAATAACCAATGTAGAGAAGTCCTTAAAAGAACTGATAGAGATGAAAACCATAACACGAGAACTACGTGACAAATGCACAAGCTTCAGTAACCAACTCGATCATCTGGAAGAAAGAGTATCAGCGATTGAAGATCAAATGAATGAAATGAAGCGAGAAGAGAAGTGTAGAGAAAAAAGCTGTCTCTTATACACATCTAGATGTGTATAAGAGACAGGAGTGCAGAGGCACGATCTGAGCTCACTGCAACCTCCACCTCCCGGGTTCAAGCAATTCTCCTGCCTCAGCCTCTAGAGTAGCTGGGATTACAAGCGCCTGCTACCCTACCCAGCTAATTTTTTTCTATTTTTAGTAGAGATGGGGTTTCGCCATGTTGGACTGGCTGGTCTCAAACTCCTAACCTCAGGTGATCTGCCCGCCTCGGCCTCCCAAAGTGCTGGGATTACAATGGTCAAGTTTTATAATCATTCATTGGTAAGGAATCTAGAGCTTAAGATTTTTTTTCAATTTCCATTTCTATTTAAGATTCAGGGATGCAGGTTTGTTACAGGGGCATATTGCGTAAGTTGTTCGTTTCTCTAAGATAAAACATATCCATGAAATATTTGCAGAGCCGGATGACTTCTATACAAATGAGAAGAAAGGAGAAACCCAGGTCTTGTTCGTGTCTTTTTATTTCTTCATTACCATCATTGACTGTATTCTTTGCAGGGTTCCTAACTGTTCTGGCAGTAAATTTCACTTTAGCGTAGAACTGCCTAGTCTTCCTTTTGTGAGATATGCTACAGTGAATTTTGAAATGTACAGTTTTAAGCCTTAGAACTGGAAAGATTTCAGAACTGTTACATCACTGAGCCTCCTTGAGTATGAAATTAAAAGCAGGTATTTGTGAACATTACAAATGCTTAATTATTACAACTATTTTAAAACTCTTAATTTACTTTTTCTAGACATTGAAAGATTTTAAGAAATCTTAAAATGTGATTTCTTTGTAGTATTTATTATTTCTTTAAAAAAGATCTG